TTTGGACGAGTCGAAAAAAAATTTACTTAGTAGCTTCATTCGAAAGTGTCGTTATTTAGATAGAAGTCTCTCAATTCCAACTACAACAGCTGATGGTGGCAGTGAATTTTTTCACTGTATTACTGACAATTTATATCACTCTTCTGTTTTCGATAAATATGATTTAAATATCGGAGCTACGCCATTCCTACACCAAAAGAGAAATAAATTCAAAGTAGTAGAATAGAAAGTATTCAATGAAGCAATGAATAGAAAATGGATGGAGATAAATTTGGAGATTGTGTATGGGATTTTATTCATGAAACAGTAAACGTTGATATTTGTGATCCACGCGAAATCATGTTTGCACGAGGAACTATTAGAAATACATTCTCGTGAAATTATGCGTAAATGCTCTGAATCTTAAACGTTATTTCATCGTGGCTCTGTTATTACTAGATATAGAAATGCGTATAATACGAAAAAGTATATCAAATATTCAAGGTATAGCGCTTTCTATAATACTTCGTAGGCGAAACACTTCTCTACCGAGATTTTACTTTTTTAATTATATTCTCAAGAATATGAATTCGCATGAAAACACGCAGTTTTATCATCACGATATCCATGGTTTTACGAAGCATTCTACTTTTTCTTCGAAAGAGCTGAATCATAACAGCCTCTACGATACAGCAAGCTCTTAAAATCGGTCAGGCGTCAAACTTTAACTATGTCTATGACGTATGAAATTGTCAGAAGTGCGAGAAGATAAGGTCCCGAAAGTTCAGTGAACGTTATATAAAGCGCACACGTAATAACCTGCACCTGTAACAAGCAAATCAAATTGGTCAAAGTGTCGAAGTTTGACTACCAGAACGTTTCTTCTATGTACAAACGAATTGATAGAAATTTTACGAACCTTTCTTTCTGTTGATCTTTTTTATCGTAAGAATGATTGCATTCATGATACACGCAAAATGAGGCTTTCACGTAACAGTTAGATTATTGTAGATCAGTTTTTCAGGAATCCAAAATTACACACCGATTTTTTTACTATACACAATGTGTCGTCGTTAACTCTTGCGTTGCTCGAGGATCGATTGTATTTATATTTGATAATATCTGGCTCATTTCTCTCTTCAAATATCGGTAACTACAGACTTTTGAATCAATTCTAAAAAAATTTATATGCAGCACGATATACATATAATCGAATTAAATTTTATGACAAACATTTGCATCGATTACGAGCTTAATGGTATTCTTGTAAGGGTCTTGTAGAGCAAGAGCGGTATTTGAATAGATGCTTCCGCATTTACGAGTCGAGCGTTTTCGTTTGAATACAGATAATGGATTGTTACAGGATCGTAACAGGAATTACAATGGCGATTCGTTTTCTCGCTTCAAAAGTAATCTTAAAGTGGATCGTTATTGTTTCTTTCTTCCACATGGCTGTGCAGAATTGCTTGATCAAAATTCCTGGCCGTATTCCGAATATCAGTCATTCTTTTCGCGTTTTTAAACTCGAATGAAACGCAACAAAGTTACGTGGAACAAAGGAACGATACGAGAAACAAGTTCTGCTAAAATCTGAGTAATTTTGCTAACGCAACGATCAACACTGCGAGGATGTCGACACGTCCCGCTACGAAATAAAAACCAAAGTACAAAACTCGCGAAAGATGCATACAACATTCAAAGGTTTTTCATTTTCCAACTTTTATTCGTCGTCGTAATGATTATCGGGGCCATCAATCTCGATTTAAATGTTAAAATAGATGCGTCCAATGTATAGCAAGCAGATCGAGATCCTTCGTTTCTGTAGTCGTGCTTTTTTGTTGTTTCGTTTCAAGAGCTTGTAACCGAAGTGAGTTGCAAGTTTTTGCTCAGCAATTTTTTTGTCGTTTAATGACACCGCTACTATGAAAACAGTAATTTATAACTAAATTAATGGATATTTATAGATTGACGGAGAACCTAAGCGCGTGGAATTTTTACAATATTTGAAGTATCTTATAACATTTAAAAAGTGTAATAAATGTCTAATCAGATCTTACTTTTATAGTTACTTTTATAGTTCCTACTATAGTTTGTAGATCTTACTTTTATAGTTATAATTAGTTTATGTTCATAGATATATTTTATATAATTTTGCACAAATCTCTTCGGTACTTATCGATATTTATCATCTCCATTGTATTTGTTAGTCATGGTTGAGCATTTTACGTTAGTACATTATATCTGTACGTTTGTAGCAACAGGAAATAAATCTAATCGAATAGACCGATTCGAAATAAGCAATCGCGCGACTGGACCAAAACATTTTCAATTCAGAAATCCACGTACATACGTGTTTAAAAAAAATTTTAACAAATACACGTACGTTATTGAGCAACATATCTATATTAGGTAATTTGTATATACAGCGATTGTGTATGCACGTGTGTATCAAAGATACGTTCGATGCTCGATCGAAAGAGTTAGACAATTTTCACGAGAAAAATTCGATTCGATTCCGAAACCGGTGATATACCCGACCCATATCGACGAGTATCATGCGCGGACAATGTGATTTCTCTCGTAAATCACAATAATTAGCGATATAGTAGTTCGGCGAAATAGTCTGATCATTATTTCGCGGAGCACTTGGTACACGGCAGTTAAGACTCGCGTGCTCGTAAACTACGCGAAACAAGTTTATGAGACGGGACGATAATACGGTTATCGCAACCGCTGTGCCTGACCTACCCTCGAAAATAATGTAATCTTCCCTCCGCCTCGAACTTTCAACAATCGGACAAGAATTAACAGTAGAACAGAGACAGACGGACATGGCGAAAAAGAGGAACTTTAACGAGCATTCACGGAATTACGTGCACGTACAGGTGCTGCTGCTCAAAAGTATCTCCAGTTATTTTAGCAGCTCACGATCAGTGTAGATACGTTAACATGCTATGAATATTGTACATAAATTACGTAACCGTCACAGGTTACTTTTTATAAGGCTAAAGCTTAAAGTAGCAAAATTAAAACGAACAGTTCGATGAATTTCATTAAGTTTTATGGATTTTATTTATATTGCATTTGATAGATTTCATGAAATATTTCATCCGCAGCATGAAATAACAATTATAGTTTTTCGCGTATATCTTCGGTCTGTATTTTTATTTCTCCGTTTATAATATTAAGTGTTCTGTACATTTGTTTACCGTATTGAGTATAAGAATTGTCCACCCTTTTTATACAATTTTTTATAATCCTTTCCTGTGTGAGATACGTTCGTTGAATTTGCCGATCCATGCGAGGACTATGCAATTTCAAATCTTTTCTCAGTGCAATTAAAAAAAAAATGTCAAACGAAGAAAGTGAACGATACAAATAGTACTATGTTTGTAATGCTATATTTTCATCTTTGTCAGAGATCTAATAATTAGACTTCGGATGCTTACGCAAAAGCATAGTTTCATATATAACTACTATTTTCCATATTGCATATGCTTCGCATATTGTCTTAATTAAAGAGAATATGCGTACGTATGTTAAATATTTCTTCCATGTCTATCTCGTGGTTGTATTTAATTCCGATCATGGTTGGCTATGTATATAATTACAAGTCGGAATATGTACGACGCAAATATTCATAGATTGTATTACACATTTGATGTATGTACTCGGTAATTGCAACGAATAAGTTCACACGAAGGTAGATGCAATGTTAAAAAGAATACTTGTTTGCGCGACGTGTGTAAAATTGCGAGTATAAACGCGCATCGTAAATTGTGGAACAGCCAAATTACGCATCGCAATGATATTATAAATTGTAAATTGCAGCGAACGTAGATATGTATTCGTTTGATTTTGCGTATTCGATTTATTAAAGTTCGCTAATTCCATTGTTTTTTCAAACGAGAATGCATTTTCTACTTTACATAGATCAAAGTCTCTCATCATTTCACGTAGAGTCGAGTTTAAAATAAATTGCAGAAAAAGTGGAACGAACCTCGAGGATCTTGTTTATTAACGCAAATCGAGATAACGAAACGCGAAGCTTTTTCGTCGTAAGATCTGTATCGTTATTGAACGATAAAGTTTTTTCCATCTATGTAGATCCTTTCTTCCTTTTATGTAGTTTTCAGCTTCAATTTGGTATACTGGAGGTTTTCATTTGGCAATATCTTTCGCTTCTTTTTTTGCTTGCAAAACTGCAGCGCAAAAATCCTGTGGTCAAGTGTAACGGCAAATACTGGAAATGTTTTTCGATTGAAGCAAACTTGTCGAAACCTTTGAAGAGCACGAAACTCGAAGCATACCGATAAAAAGCTTTTTGCCTCTGTGATTGGACGAACGGAGATTTATCGTTCTTGGTAAAGAATAAATAAAATATACATAAGTATACAAAAGTATATACTTAGGAATGTTTTTTCGACGATGAGAGTCGTTAGAATTTTATTCCGGATTTATGCCCTTACTTCTACCGTGAATTTCAGTTTATTTTGTATATTTCATGCTTCTGTATTTCTTTTCAGAACCAAAATTGCATCAAATATGCGCACATATAATTATATTGTATTTACCGTTTATGAAGTAAAATGAGGATATAATAAATGGAAGAAACTTTTCAATAACAATTATACTAATATAATTTTTTTGTAATCACTTGGAATCACACTTCTGTAATCATTTGGAATTACACAAGAACCTTGAAACGCAATTAGAGGATAGAATAATATTTTTAAATGCTAATATTCTTACTATCAATATTCTCGATTTTGGTATTTTTTAATATAATAACAACGCATTTCTTATATGTTGATATATCAATATAGTATAATTTTAATAACATAATCAAACCACAGAGAAAGATGTTTCGCGAGAAATTCCCATTTCTCTTCTAACTCTTTTTTAACAAATTATAAGTACGACATATTGACAAATTATCATAACATCATTGGGCCCTCTAGTATAGTACCTATGCTGATTGTAAAATATTCGGTTAGAACGACATTTTTTAGGGGTCTTCCGAGGTCGCTGGAGCCGAAAGTGAGAGTCGTTTTTCACGGAAATAAGACGTCAAAAATTTCCATCAACCTGTTGATGTGTGACGTCCTCGTGGATTTTAACGAGACCTTTTCTAAAACTTGGTGCTCTTAACCTACTGTGTGGCACGCTCTGTATGCATTTGAATCGCGAGCATTGCACTAGGTTTGAGTTATTTTTTAATTAGTTAGCGTTCATACAATGAGCGCCAAGCTATAAGTGGCAAAATTAGCTTACCGCTTACTAACTTTGAAAATTTAACATTGCACAGAATGCACAGAATGCACACAATACGAGAAGACGCATCTAAAGCATCTAAGCTATAATGCTTTCTACCATACTCGATAGGTAAAACAATTTTTTACCAAAGTTCCACATTCCAAAATATATTCTGAAAAATATGAATTTGCACAAAAATCCGCAGTCTGACGATCGCGATCTTGCGCGAATTTCTAAAGTTAAAACTTTTGTCGGCCAAATGTTCGCAAGGACGAATTGTTAAAACCGTTCATTTCCATGAAAAATGATCCTTATTTGCGGCTTTGGCGGCCCGAAATATCGCCGCCTGAAAGCCACATTCAGACCAAAAATTTTGCAGTCAGCATCCTAGCATTGCATCGATGATTTCTAGACAAATATAATTAAATGTGCAAACTCTGAAAATCTGGTAACTGGAAAATAAACATGGCACATGTTTCAAGAAACATCCGTATTCTCAATTGTCTCGCTTCATTTAATTTCTTTCTTCTGAAAAGAAAAAAGAGAAAGAGAAAACGAGAAGACTTTTCGATAAAGCTGTTACCCATTCCTGCATCAAAGTCTGTCGATGGGAGTGCGGTGCATTTATATCTCTAAGAAACAGGTTAAATCCTTTGTCTGGCGAATCGAGATGATTTACCATTGGCGGCGGAAAGTTGCACGCTACCACGGTTCGAAAGCGACTGTGACCGAACAGTAAAAATCGGGTCAATCTCTTATTGGATCTATGAAACGTGCCTTGACTATAAAATAAACGAGCGTTGTGCGTGTAGCGTACTCGAATTCCATCTCAATCAACGGCGTCGCGTAGGCAAATACGTTCCTCTCCGATCGAGGTCAAAATAACGAAACTCAATTCGCGCATCAGTCGTTGTTAAGCAACGCCATCAATTTGCATCGAATTAGCCACGCTCCTTGTTCATTGTGATTTCGATCATTTCTTCCTTTCTTCTTTTTTCTCTTATTTATCGTTTCTCGTTACTTAAGCTGGTAAGATACTAGTGGCCACAATTACATGTATTCTATAAAAACAACCTTATTGTTAGATCTTTCGTGATGTCAAAACAAAAATTGCCAAAATCGTTTATGTAATTTCATATTATAATATAAAAGAACACTGAAGATACGTCAAACGAAAATTTTCTTCTCTCGAAGTTTGGAAGAAATGAAAATTTCCTTTTAGAATTGTGTTTTTGACTGTGAAAAAGTATAAACTCGATGTTAACTTTGTTACCTTTTCGCTCAATATTTAGTGGATTTCCCTTTATTTATGGCTATTTCTGTTAATCTGTTAGGTATGCTATCCACTAACTTATTTAAAGTTTCGTTCCATTTTTTAAATTCAACGATATTTTCTATAAATGACTTCTGTTGGTCGCAAACTTTTCTTGCCAGAGTTCCCCACAGATTCTTGATCGGGTTCAGATCAGGACTCGATGCTGACCATGGTAACAGTTCTATTCCGAAATTGTAAAACCACTTTTTCGTAGCGGATTGTATGGATAATTTTCTGCGTGAATAGTTGAATAATTTTCTATCTTCTATTCCGACCATGAAAGGCAATAGTTCGTCATGTAATATCATGATATCCTGATATCCTATCAGTTTACCCTTTGCAAAAATAATTTCGCTTAACATATCAAGCTACGATCACTGGTTTCTTGGAAATATTAAAGATATAATGCAGAAATTGTGTTTGAGTCTATAATTATTTACAGCATTGTATACAGGTATCTAAATACTATTTCCATGCTTAATAGTTAATGCTATTAATAATTAGTCAGTGCAGTAAATAATTAGTTAGTTATTAATTAGCGAATTAGTACAGTTTTGTATACTTCTATAGGCATTGTGAATGATCTATTTCTTCTAGCAAACTTGCAATTTTTTACACTGTGTTCTATTAATTAGAAGCGATCGTGCAGGCTGAATGTACATATGTACAATTGACTAATTTCAAAATTGACATTCTGGCACGATGTATCACTTTTCCGCTCTAGCAATTGTTTTATGGATACGTGGCAAAATAATCATGGAACGTTGCGCAGTTCAAGAAAAAAAGAGAAAATTATCGAAACATTTTGTCAAAGCAATTCGAGTATTCTTATCAAAATAATTTCGATGACGGTGATGTCGCGCAAGTTACGTTCGCTTTTTTATCATCTGGTATCGTCCTATCATCTAATCTAACTGATTTAACTGCACTACGCTTCTTCCTCTTATGGGGTTTTCTTAAAAGTAAAGTGTATGTCAATGAACCAAACGTAATCGAGCAGCTAAAGGATGCTATCGGAGAATCGATAACGAACATAACTTGCGAAACGTGCGAGAATGTAACGAAGAGCATTCTTCGATTAAGGGCTCGACTTCCTAAGCTCTTTGTCAATGTCATTCTGATATTATATTCCATACATAATGTCCAAGTATTAATGAATCTCTTGTATCGAAAACTGATGATTGCCGGCTGTTCTATCTTATCTAAAAGTTATTGACAATGAAAATCAGCCACCTGTATATCGTATCTTTGTGTCGCGTCTTGTTTCGCCGAATTTGATTCTGTAGCAAAGTAAATATTCCATGGTGTTGTTGACGTTGCGATACTTACGGGCTTTAGGATTCTGTTCTTCGATAAAGTGCGAAGGTGTAATGTTAAGACTGACCTTATCCCCAGTCTAGTTATTTGTGTCTGTTCTTTTCTCGTGAAAGTCATAGCCGGGCTTACTTCGTGCACGTTTCTACTGGATTTATGTACGAAGATGTTGCGCTTCTGTCAGAAGTTATATCATTCTTTTCTTATCATTGTTTTTACGAGGCGTTTATTTTTCAAGTCTTTATTAGTAGTTGGCTGTTAGAGCGTAGTGTTGCTTTTATTTCTCAAGTCTTACGCGATATGGTTTGGCTGTTGGTGGTTTTTTGCTCTAATGGAAACCGGTAGAAGGTTTCATTAAATATTTTATGCACCTGTTTATTGGATGCTGGCTTATTCTACCGATAACAGAGTTTTTTTAGAATGTTCGATAATATCAGTATCTATATTCTTATTTATTAATATCTTCTAATAACCTTCTAATAATCCTTAGGGGTCGCAGAATAGAGCTTGATTTACGGAATATACTAAATCGCACAGCCTTCCATTCCATATTGTACCTTCCTGACCTTACACTCCTACTTTGACGTTACTTTGATATCACTCGATGTTGTTGCTTGGTACTTTTATTGCCAACATTCTTTTATGCTTATTTGTAGACTTATCAATTCAAACCTACTTATTACATCCCAATAGTCTAAACTGCTCTAAACTAATTTATCGCTATCTATAAACTGCGCATTGGATACTTTTCTTGTCCTATTCTTGCTCTTTATCGTCCTATCCACTTTGCTTGACCAGTTCACGACTTAACACTTTGACCGCCACGCCGAAATCACATGTTTCGCTCAGGACGCCACGGGAGTATTTTTATTATTCAAAGCATATAATGGCAAAGTAATAATAAATTGATGATGTAAGACGATATTCTTTCCCAATGGACCGTGTATCTTATTGGTGATCACGGGCGACCACCGTGGCGCCTTGGCAACAGTTGATAGCGACATATTATAACAAGGCTTCGTTTATTTCAACAATCCATTCGCATTCGTTATTTCGTCGTAAACAAAACGTGCAGAATATATTATTGAAACGTATAGAAGATATTAGTAAACAGTATTTGCTCATTCTATATATAATAGTAAAGTATGTGCACACTTCTAACTTCAATTATATATATGATTATATATATGATTAAAGCAGCATTTACGATTATTTTCTAAGCTGTGTTTATAATAATATTCGTAGATTACCCCTCAAAGATATGGATGCAAACACAGTGCACCGTTAGATGCAAGATTCGTTCTCATTTTTTTTATTGATGTTCTGATAAAAATGTTTAATTGTTCAATGGGGCACTTTTTGTTTCAAAGTATCTTCTCTTTATCGGTTATATTCAAAATGCCCTAACTGTCAATTTTCATACAATTTTTGCAATTGTAAGAAGTTCAAGCGCTCCGGTCACCAAAGACCACTGTGGCGTCACAGGAGAAACCGTGACCGGTCATATATGACCAACGTGGCAGTCAGTCAGAGTGTTAAGCAAAGCACCAAGCTTTCGCTTAATATTTCTTCTATATCGCACACGCCTAATCATCGTGTCTCTACACGGACTTGCAGCCAGATATCCATTGCATAATTGAATATTTTTCCGATGTTCTATGCAGAGGATCGAAGTCACAAGGAGAACACGTGGTATGATATTTACAGCCGGTTACGAAAGTTTATATAACACTTGTAAAATTTCGTGTGTACGATTTAGCAAAGAAATTAAAAACGCACTTTGTCACAAAATTATTTATATTCATATATACTATAAGCTATTGCTTACGCATCGATACAATTGTTATTTACGTATTTACGAAAGGAATGTAAAAGGTTGAAACATTTGATGGATTAAAATATCGGGATAAAATTATTACAATCACGTCACGGTGGCAAATGTGTTAATAAATTATCCATTAATCATTATTTCTGTCAAATAAATATTCAGAAATATAAGACTCTCGGTTACACATGTGGAATATTAGTCAATGTTATTGACAGTTTGGAAAATCGATAGACGTAATTTTAATAGAAGACAGATTGCCAGAAATCCCTGTCGCGATACATAGAAGCACGAGGTTAATGAGGATATTGACACAAGAAACAGATGTTCCTGTTTTCGCAGCTCATAAAGCCATACACAAAGGCTATAAATCTCTCGCTCATAAAATGATAACCATTCATGAATTACCAGAAATCGATTATTAGCGGGAAACAATTTACTACGATTGATTTCATGATCAATCATCGGCGATGTAATCGTAGTTATAAAGCAACGCCGTAAATAAAGATTAATCTAAAATAATCATCAAATTTCTCTGGTCAACGATTCTGGTGCTTTCTAGTGCTCTACATTTCTAGTACTGGTATTTGAAACCGCACTTATTAAAAGTGTCAATTAATTCTTGGACATCGGTTAACAGCACAAAATATCTATAATCTTTCGTTACAAATAATTTTGTAACGTTATATATTTCCCTCAGGAAATATAATAATTCATCGATATCATCCATTGTTCTTCATTACGAATTATTAATTTTACTTTTCGTAATGAATTAAGTTTGCGTCAAATATGTTTTTGTACTCTCGCGTTTGATACTTAATATCGCAACTCGTATCGTACGCGTAATATGTTGATTAGAAATTAAAGTGGGTTGGAAAGGAACAGAACAGCTTCGCCGGTAAAAGATTCGACGTTATTTTCCGATCGATTCAATAATTGTTGGCTGTCAAACATTAATTAACAAGGCCGAGTAATTAGACTGTTTGACCGTGGAATGACCGATGAACGCAGGTAGCTTTGAATGCAGTGGCACAAAGGCGCGCCACGGTATCAATTGATTCATGTATATCATATCGCATCGTAACAGCAAACGAGTTTTCGAATATTTATCTCGGGGTAACGTGACTCACTTGTCAATACGGTTTTGCTAGCACCTTCGTTAAATTCATGCTACGGTCAACCAGGGACAACGGGTATATATTAATCGCGCGTCCGCTTTCGAAATGCTCGAGAAACTTGGAACGCGCCGCCGTGGAATTTCAATCGGCCCACGTTCGCCCTATTCGAATCGACACGATGCGACGCGTCGCGATTGACAAAACACCAATCGATTTTCGCTTCAAACGGGCCGCATTGCCAGAAGCAAAACTGAATTTTTCCGTTTGGTCTCGGTTTTCAGTAATTCCATTAAAAAATTCAATTTTCATGAAATCGTTCAAAAGGTTTCCGAGATTAAAAACGTACTGGTATTTAAGGATTTATCGTTTCTATTTGTTTAAAATTGGAATATTGTAGTACGGTATACTGTATTTTTTATTTGTTTCAAAGTATTTTTAAGAAACAGCAACTTTTTATTTGAAGATCAAGATTGTCCAATAATAGGTTTGAAGTTACTTGAAATGATATGCTAATGAAATGATGTTTTTCAATCGGTTAAGGAACGTTCAGGCTTCTAGTTTTAATTGCAATCGACCAAGTAGATACGTTTCTATTTTTAGCAAGAAATATCCTTCGAGGAAATATCGGCCAACGATCTAAACAATTCGATCAATCGACTGAATATCAAATAAGTGATCGAAAATTCAAGGTCTCATTCAACAAATTCTTCTGTCGATGGAATGTTTCGAAGATTGATTTCCCGTTAAAAACAACATTCCATCTCTAGTTGACTAAACATTGTAATTATCTGATATAATCAGTTGAAAGTCAGCGATCCGAAGCAACATTCAATGTAGTACGTACCTCCGCCTTGGATTGGCTTTAGATCGTTTCACGCGTTAGGACACGCGACTCGATTACGAGCGAACTGTCCTTTCCATAAAAAATCCGCAACAGAAATTTAAATTACCCATGTATTTCTTTCTCGATATTCCAAATATTTTGCGCATTCTCATATTTCATTTTCGAATCATTTTAAATCGCGAATCACACGCAAGAGTCATCAGCAGTCGCATTTATAAAACTGTCGGAAGTCCAATAAAGGTAGCCATTTTTCAGCTATTGAATTTAAAAAGAAACTTTCAGTTTGCCGTCCAAATGGCTCAATAGATCGGAAGATTGAAGTCACACGATCGATAAAAATTATTCTAATAGCCGACGGTTCTTTCTGCTCCGGGGCAAGCCTCTACGAACAGAATCGACGAGCATAAAGGACATAGAGAGCACGTAAAAGTCGTTGGTTTTATATAGAGCGCGAATGCCGGCAAACCGGTGGAAAGCAGAAGAAGCGACTGCGAGTTACTCGGCTCGATGCGCTCGTCGTTCCACTTATTCTTTAAATAGTGCGAGTCAACAAATCTCGGTTCCATAAAGTTCAGAATTTGTCGCGGGAGAAACCACTTCGAAGTTTCTTCGTTTCTGACCCGATTCACGGAAACACCTATATCCCCTCCAGCTATCCTTTTTTGTCAGAATTCAAACAACCGACGAAAATATCCGGGCTACGGATTTCGCAATCGTCGTTGCACGATGCGCACCGTGATTCTTCGATTTATCGCAGAAAAGTTTCGTCACCGTTCAGATTTCCTCCTTACTTTGTTACGTTTCGTTCGTTCGTTCGTTCCACTCTCATAGGTGAATGGAATTGTGATGACGTTAAACGTCTGTCGAATGTCAAATTTGACGAGCATACGGTAGCTTAGGAATGTGTACGGACACTTATCATGGAATTTCTTTTATAAATTTATCGTGTGCGTGATACTAAACCTTGCGGAACTTCGTTAGCACCGTAACAAGATACGATTAGCGTGATTATAATAGCTAAATTTTAAAGCAATCCATCGAAGGATGTATATAGGAGTTACGAGATATTTATTGATATTAAGGTACACTCACTGTGAAATTAGTATACAGCGTGAATTATTCGTTCGATTCGTTGTTATAGTAGACTTAAATATACTATTATACCTATAAACATACTCTTCAATTCTTGAAATTCTTCACTTTTGCTTGGACAAAATATTGCGATAAATGAAACAAATCGTTCCACGAATGGATAATTTCGGCGAAATTTTGTCAAATGCAATTTTGAGCGAATACAAGAGAGTAAACAATTAAATACAAATAGATCGTGGGTAAAATTTGTTAAAACTTTGCAATGCGTGTGCTTAATTAATTACCGAAAACCGAATGGATAACCGATGGATTTCTTCAGCATACCCGCCCACACTGCCAATGTCGGAAGAATCTTCTCTTTAATTAAAAGACAATGAACGATAGAACGAAATTCTTTAGGATTATGTACAATTTCATCGCTAATAAAGATAAATTACAATTTCAAAGTCTTTGAAATTGTACTTGCACTGACTTTCACAAATTTCTCATTACCAAGGAAGATGTTTTAATGGCCATTAGCAAGTACAAGAAGACTGAAGCTACATAAACGATATTCATAGTTTGATCTCGCGTTGACTTTATCAAAGATTTGCATCTTAATTAAATTATCGCATTGTCAAATAGATTTCAATTACGTTTACGTTTATATATTTTAGTTGCGTTACTGTATGCCCCAAATTCGTTTGTAAAAAGACTTACGTTTTAATTTTACTTCGAGATTTATTTTTGCTAGATCGTTAATAATCGTCAAAGTAATCAAGATGACTGATTTAAATATTCTTTATCGAGTTTATTTCAATTGTAAGTTAGATTAAAGTTTAATTTGGGAAACATTTTAACGATTGACAACATAGTAAACGATCAGTTTCATTGTTTTCTTTATCGAATAGTTAATACTTCACTTTTCTATCTTTTTATTTACGATGGATAAAAGATCGTAAATAAAGTTCCTATTTTGTACAACTATATATATTTTGTTTTGTTTATTTCTTGATTGCGATTACAGTCTCTGTAGTTGCTGTCAGAATCTAAAAAATAGTTAAAGGCGCCCGACTTTTAGGTGGAAAAACTCTCGATTCTAGATCAGCGATTTTCTAAATGGAAATTCCGCAGTCTCACTACGTATTGCGGCTTATTAATATTATAGCGAATAATCGAACGTACAACAAAT